CAGAAAAGGACATGGAAGTTAGAATTATAAAGCAGGGCTTGTAGAGAAAGTGTAGAGCATTTCCTTTGGAATGTAGGGGAGGGGTCTAAGAATTTAGAGGTGAGTAGGTGCCTTACAAATGCCTGGAACTCTTGGGGAGATGGGAATCAGTGTGTGCTTTGGGGCAGGAAGGATGGGGTACAAATAATTCCAGAAGCTGTAAGACAAACCACAGAAGATAGGGGCTTCTGTAGTCTGGGGCAGTGGTCTGTGAGAGCTGAGCATGTGCATGAGTGGGAGCGTATAGGATAGTCCTCAGGGGTGGAAGTAGATCCCAATTAGAGGTGAATTCTAGACACCAGGACTAAGGAGGTGCAGGAGTAACAGAGTTGTCCCGGAGACTCAGGACGGGGTCACCCACCAAGAGTGGCGGAAAGTTCACGAAGGCACTAGCCAAAGGAGAAAGCCTTTGTGTGAGAGTAGACCCCTTGTGTCTGCAAGTAGCTCCTCCTTCTTACAGCAGAACTGGGGGACTCTTACAGTGTGATTCAAGTTCACCTCTGCCTCTGCTTAGCCCCTTGAAGGTGATGGTTTGTGGGACTCCTTGGCCATCAGTGTCACTTTCACAGCCTAGCCAGGGGTTCGACCCTCTCATCCCCAGCATAAACAAAACAATAGCATACATGATGACCTTATCCATTTCTAATGGACCACTTGGAAGAGATGGGAGTTGTGCAATGCATCTCTAGATTTCTCTACACCATTGTCCTATAACCCAAGGACCAGATTTTGCACTTATTTCTTGGTCTCCATCTTGACTTTGTCCAGGATCCAATAGTTTATCTTTGGAACAATATTGTTTGGGGTTTTTTCCTTCCTTTTTATGAACTTGCATTTGCTGTGAATCCATACTGTTGTTTAGCAACTGTGAAATCTTTTCAGAGATACAGATGCTTTTGAGTCATTCCTGCTCCTGAGAGTAGCCTGGCACCCGCATCCAAATAACTTCAGTAAACTCACTGGTTCACCAAGGCAAACTTTGGTCCATCCATTCTGGCTTCCTTATCTGGGATGACGGATGTAAGAGAAAGCTCAGGTGACTTTAAGTGTAAGTACTGGAGTGGGACTAGTGCATCAAGACAAGTTCATTAACTTCCTGTGTGTCCCTGGCCTCACAAGTCCAGTGTCCTCCTTGATAATACCAAGTCCAACAGAAACACACTTTACTGACCAGTGCTCAGTGATCACTGACTGCTATTCTCTTATCAGTCACCTTATGGAATTGCCTAAGTGTGGAAATAGTGAGCCCCTCTTTAGAGGCTCCATTTTGTAATCTTCAGAGATCACAGCACAGTTCTCACCCAACACAGCTCCTGGGTTGTAGACAGACTGGAAACTGAGCCCTAACTCAGAGGAGGGTGTCTCAGCAAGAGAGTGCTTGGCTGTGCCATGTTGTGTGTTGATTTTGACACAGTTTTCTCCAGATCCAAGAAACCAAATGTGGGCTCTAATGAGATCGTGGAAGAAATGGGGCTGCCTGGAGGAAGTTTCACACTGAACACAGAAGAGGTTAACCTGACGATACTTCCTTCTTTTAAATTAAGAAGCAGAACTGACCACAGACCAACACAGCATTAGCACCTAAGTACATTTTATGCTCTCATCAGGCAAAAACCCGAAACACCTTGCAATCACTTCTTTCCATTTTGCCACGGTAGACCATCCTCTCGGAGGCTGGGAATCTGGTTAGTGTGTTCACTTCAGAGAGACAGATGAGCAGAGGAAGCCAGTGGGGACTGGGAGAGCAGCTCAGACACACTAGGAAAGAGGTATGGGATAAAGCATGCCGTAGTGGCATTAGGCTGAGATAACCCAATGCAGATCTGTAAATGTTCAAAGCAAATTACCCAGACTTCCTCTATCCTGCACAGCATGTCTTGGCCTCGCTGTGGCTTTTCAATTCCTTTTCTGCTGGACCCTGTCTATAATATCTTGGTCGGTATATCTTATGCTTACTATTGGAATATAGCATAGTGGTGTGGGGAGGCAGCTCACAATGATACATTGGTCCATAAACTTGGAAGCATGGGGGCAGGGTGGTGTAGGGAGTGTGACCACCAAGGCTGTTTTCAGGGGGTCACACCGCAGTGAAAAGCCACAGAAATCGGCCCAAACATCACATGTCAAGGAACTAATCTCCCAAGCCCAGAAAGCTATCTGTGCAGCAGGTACCAACACCACTGGGTGTGAGTGCAATATATCTGCCAACCTTCTCTCAGCTGTACCTGCCATGCAATGTTTTTGTTTTGTTTTGGGTAGTCCTGGCTGTCCCAGAACTCACTCTGTAGGCCAGGCTAGTCCCAAACTCACAGATATCTGCCTGCCTCTGCCTCCCAAGTGCTGGGATTAAAGGCATGCACCACCATCACCCACCACCATGGAATTTTCTTATACTCCCACCTAGAGAGCAATTTCCTGGTCTTAGCTGACCTCTCAATGTGTTCCCAGCACTCATAATCAAGAGCTTTCCTTGAGTCAGGAAGGCTCTTGGGTTCATGGGATGCTGGCCTTAGGTAGGCTCCTCCCAAATCTCAGTAACTATGCCAGATCGCCTCTTACCTCCTGAACAGGAATCTCCTTGTGTGGGGAAATTGTTTCCAGCTTGAGGCAAGATTTTGTAAAGTCACTGATAGTCTGGACACACTGTTTGCTTTTGTAACCTACAGGAAGAGCCAAGTGGTAAGATTTCCCAAAATGCCGCAGGCTGCTGGGGTGTTACCTGGGAACAAGGAGCATGAGTAGTTTCTTAAATGCCTTCAGGTTAAATGCTCCCGGAACTCCTATATTCCACAAATGGCAGATACTCACTGGGAAACTCAGCCTCTGGATTCGGGCAAACAGTAGACACCTGGACACCACAATCTGCAGATATGTTCAGGAGAGTGTTCGCTTATGTGCAGCCTCCAGCAGTGCCACCAGAAGCTACCGTCTGGTGCTGGGAACTACCTGGGCTGGTCCAGGGTTAGCCAGCCACCAGGTGTGAGGCACCTTCTCCAGTCTAGTCTCACCTGTGGCTTTTCACGCTCTGGTACTTTTTTCCCATGGAGCTCTTACTGTTAAATGACTCATATGGTATCTTTTATGTCAATGTCTATTATCCCAGGGATTCAGCTGACTTACCCAGAAAAGCAAATGGGCCTTAGGTGTGTAGATATTCTACTGCAGAGACAAAATGCACTGGGTCTTATGAACAAAGACTTAGGGCCAGAGGGATGGCTCAGAAGGATAAGACACTTGCCACCAAGCCTGACAATCTGAGTTCAGCTATGGAGGTCCAGACAGTCTGCCCTATCATTCCCCCAGGCCAAGTAGCCTTCTGTGAATGAATTCATGCCTTACCTAAAGGCTGATGAAGACAGAATGGCTGTTTACAGTGAGGACCACTTCCTGGCAGCTAAGATGTTGCCATCTGCATGGGTCTCCTTCTCACCTAAGTAAAAGTCCAGGGAAGCCGCATCTGTCATAAAATACTGGCCTCCATGAGACAGAGGCCTGAAGAGTCAGTGACCAGAAAGCCTCGTGTGTCCCTTCTAAAAAGGGTTCCGTTTTCTCTTATGCTTTAAAGACTCCTGCCCAGTCTTTCAGATTCACAGACACCAAGGGGCACTCTGGTTTCCTTTGCTTTCATTCATGACATTGACTCCTGTCCTGTACTTGGACTTTGGCTCTTTTACCTTTGATCTAGAAACATCACGATCTTCATGGAAACTCCCAGTCAAGTTCAACCAGAACGTGTGTGCCAACAACGGCAGCACAGCAAACATTTGTTGAACAGTGTGCATAGTAACAGACACTTTATGTTCACTATCTAGTTCATCCAAAGTGTTTGTGATAACTCGGCCTGGGGAATACTCACTTAGCCCTGTCTTTCACATGAGAAGTAAAGATAAATAACTTAAGCACAAAAGTTAGAAAGCCAGGACTCAGACTTCTTCATCTGGACTAGAGAGCAATATTGGCCTCCAGGAGTGACCTTCCCACTGCCAGGGAGCATCTCACATTGAAGCATGGGACTGACACAGGTGGTTATGAGTGCTTCGTGGGTTTGCATTATGTGTGTCCTTTAGACAGCAAATGAAGATCTTGGAGAATTCTGAGAACTCACGTGAGAGGCAAACAGCCCAACTATATGCTTATAGTATAGCACTGTGTAAAACATGTGTGAGGTGTAAGAGACAAGGCACCCGACACACGACACACATGAAGTTCTATCCTTTCCCTCTAAAGGCTGCCTCACCACAGGTCACAGAGGACCACCACTCCCTCCACAGGCTGCCTTTCCTGAATCGTGTGAGTTTCCTGATGAACAAACAAACAGGAACATTTCTATAATTTCCTATGATTCGGATTCTGTGAAACAAATAGGCCTTTGGTGCATACTAATGAAGGATGTAAATAGCAGTTCGAAGCCCTGTCTCACCATCCAAGCTTCTGATTTCTCAAAAAATTTTAGTGAACAAAAGCAAACTGAAAATTGTGTGAGTTGATATGAGTCAAGAGGAGAATAAAGGGCCTGGGAAGATGGCATAGTGCTTGCTGAATAAGCCTGGGGACTTGAGTTCAGATCCCCAGCACCCCACACATCTGCTAGGGAGGCAGAGACAAGCAGATCCCCAGAGCTCACTGGCAGATCTAGCCAGCTGGTGAGTTCCAGGTTCAGTGTGAGACCCTGACTAAAAAAAAAAAAAAAAAAAATCCAAGAACCAAGATGGAGATCGAGAGAAAGGCACCGGGCCTCAACCTCTAGCTTCCACACATGCACACATGTCTACATACACACACAGATACAGAGAAAGAGAAGAAAACCAGTGTGGTGTCTAACTCAGTAGTAGGGCACTCTCCCGGCATTAGCAAGTTTATTCTCCAGCCTCACAGAGGAAGATGAAGAAAGGAAAGTAATCAGAGAGCCCCAAACCTCACTCCAAGAATTCAGATGCCCCCCATAAACCTTACAGAACCACTGAGTTGTCAACAATTACTTTATTGAGCATCTACAAGGTATACAGCATTGTACAAAGCTTGATGTGGCCAAACCCTCTGTCACAGTGTCCTTCATTCCCTGATCTTGCAGGTTTCTTCCGTGTTCTACAGGAAGCAGGGCAAATACCCTCAGTGTGGAGCTTGCTATGATACATCACAGCATGGACCATACCACCTGTTTCCACAGCATATGGGAAACTCCTTATTGGTGGAACTCTCCATCTCGGCAACCTTGATGACTGAATACATGTTTGCCACATAGATGGATGACTGAAGGCCAAGGATGCTTTGTTTCAGTTCCTTCCATCCCCTAGTTTGATTGTGTGGAGAAGGCACAAAGGCAGAGGGCACATCTGAGAACATGGCTGCCAGTGACTAGAAAAGCAGCTCTTAAATGACAGAGTTAGCTAATGTCCCCGAGAGCCTAAGAAAGGAATGAAGCCACAGCAAAGTCTCCAAGCTGAAGACAGGGCTCAGCTTCTCCAACTCCTGCCTCGAGTAGCCTGCTGGGAAGGGACCAGCAGCCCGGAGATCAATGCATCTTGTTCCAGTGACTTGGGGGCCCTTCCAACCAGAAACTCCAGAATGAAGTGTCACGGCCCACTAACCTAAAGGATATATTTTTGTCTTATTATCCTTTCCCATATTAAAAAAAAAAAGCCACACAAAATAAATAACCAGACATCTGAATACAGGGAGGGGGTATTTCCAAGTAGTTCCCTAAAAAGGGGTTCCGGTGCCGTGGGTGCCCTATTAGGGCCTCTCAGAATGCAAATATTCACTAAAAAGAAAGAGGGCCACGTGAGATGCAGTTTCATATGGATAGCTGGCATTTCATTAACCGTGCCAAATCCAGTTGATGATACAGAACCTGAAATCTTTTATAGGTAATAAAATCCTACTTACCCTTAGGGAGGCATACCCAGTGTGATGGAGTGTCTTAGTTTGTCACAACCTGCAGAGTCAAGTCCACAGCCTCCTTGTGCCTCTGGGACCTAAACACATGATGGCTTGGCCAGACCGCTTCTGTGGCTATTTCTGAGAGTCCCTTTTTTGGCCCATCAGTGCCAACACAAACCCTCACACTCCCATTTACACAGAGAAAACTCCTGGCAAATACTGCTATGAGTCTTGATAAACCAAGTGAGGGCTGGTCCGAAGTCTAGGCTCAGAATCACGGCTATGTGGAAGTTTGCAGGCTACTAGTTTTCTCTGGTGCAATTCAAATCATCTTCTGCAATTTTTTTTCTTGCTACATTCAGGTTCTCCCATGTCAGCTCCCTTGTGACAGCTGATGCACTGCTGTCCCCTCTGTTTTCTTTCTAGACTCCTAGTCTTTACAGCTAACTTCCAGCTGCTATGTACCCAAGTGAAGTCCACACTAGGCCCCTTTCTCCTTCACAGCAACTCTTTGGAACACTCAGAAAAAATACTAGACAATCCATTGCCACTGTGGGGATGTTTGGTTCCTACAAAGCATGTTTGGTTCACTTTGTTATACTTTTTAGTGCAAGATTTAAAATTACAAGTGATTGATCAAAATCGGGAATAAGCTCTCAAATTTAACTTGCATTAAGGAAGGACTTACATTTTTTTAGCCTCAAATATCCTATAAAAATAATGCTCTAAGAGATAATGATTCTTAAATATATACATACATGTATTTTTGCCCAATATGGCCAGAATATTTTTCACGTTGTCTATTACCTAGATAGTTATAACATTCACTTCAGGAGAAAAGTCAGAGTGCCTCATGGTATGGCATTAGATGTCACAAAATATTAAGTTTCATATTAGAGTAACATGCAAATATTTGTCTTTAACGTTGTCAACCAAAGATTTCATGTAAGATGGTCCATGCCTCCCTAGGTATGCCCTTGGACATACAGCACTACTTAACACTGTCTCTTTTCCACTTTCTACACCTGGGGGGGGGGACCTGACCTACCCTAATCAGGGCTGCATTAAAATTTTATTATGCCACATTTGTCATAAAATGCTCATTGTGACTTAGCAAATTCAACTTTGGGAGAAAATGAAAATCGAATAAGCCATTGAGACCAGGCAAAAGTCAAAGTTGAAGCAGATGCTACCTTCATAGGGAGGGATTTCAACAGAGCAGTCACCTGTATGTCATCACAGTTGATTGGGTGGGAGAGGAAGAGAAAGAAATGTTAAGAGGCTGGACAACAGGATTCAGATCGTTTGCTTTAAATCTTTAAGGGGAATGGGAGGTACAAGATTCTTTCTCCATTTCTTAAAACCTTTAACGTCATCCTCTCCCTCCTTATTTTTAGTTTTCATAACAAGCCTGGGTCGGTCCAGGCGTTTCACTCTGAGTCAGGGCACAGTACTGAAGTTAACACACTCATGGAAGCTTGCAGGTGCACAGTGGATACCATACCTACCCTCAAGTCTAAAGTGTGCCAAACTCCTTTGCAGAAAAAGCCAACCCACCCCGCAGGCAAACATAACACAGTAGCTGACCGAGAACAGAAGCCCGCTATAAAAACAGAATATCCTCTCTCTCTGTTGAAAAGAAATAAAATACATCACAATGGATACCGCTAGGTTTTTGAGTCCTATAACTCCCCAGAATTGTCAAAAGTAACCTTGTAGCCAAACCGCTTGAAGACACTAAAAACAACCTGAAACAGACCACCCATGGTGCCAAAAGCAGTGTCAAAGAGGAGAGAGAGAGTGCCCCCCAGGCCCACAGCAATGTCCTTGCACACAATGGGAATGGCCCCCATGGTATACACAGGGAACGTGGCTACATCCACAAGGACTCGGAGAGGGATGCTCAGAGCTCGACAGATAGTCTTCAGCAGACAGCAGAGGATCCGGAGAAGGGCCCTGATGACTTTGGCCACAACTTTGAGCACTTTCCAGGGAATGCCCACCAACTCTTGTCCAATGGCTACAAGGTATGACACAGTGGCTGCGCCCAGACGGTATAGACAACTCTCAATGCCATTTATCACCTGCTTGGCAACAAACCAAAGGAGGTGGATGGCATTCCTTAAGACTGCGATCACAAGGTAGTAAATTAACTGGAAAAGTTTGATGAATGGTGTTAATAGGAAACCAAGGACTTTTCCCAGAAAGCTGCCTCCTCCCTCTGATGCTTCTGGGGACAGTGGAGCAGACCTCTGGCTTTGGGTGCTGGTGAGGGGACTCGTGCTCTCTTGAGACAGCAGAGACCGCTCCTCCTCTTGGACTTGGTTGACCACTTCCAGAATCTTCTTCATCTTCTCCGTGTCTTGCTCTGTCTCTCCACAGTTGTCCTGGAACAGCTGAGGCTTATGAGGAAGCAGCTGCTCAAGGTCCCTCACCATCACATCATCTATGATGCCACTGTCCTGAGTGTGCTTGGTGAAGCCCATGGCCCATCCTCCACCAGGGATGTCACAGCAGGCTGCCAACCAGACAAATTCTGGGATCGTCACTTTGCCCTTAACTCTGTAGTCCGAGGGGACCGCGCCTGTGATGATATATAGGTCTTTTCCATCGCCACAGTGTGGGATCAAGGCTCTCTCCATGAGGCTGTTGAGATTCTTGTACCATCGTTCCTGGAAAGACTTGGTCATTGGAACTGAATTTGTGAGTGGGAATGTGGGCACCTGGGGGTCATTGCTAAGGAGGAATGGGTACAGCTGTCCAATTTCATAGTTAGAGTCAAGGTAGTCTGCATTCAAGGCTTGCTTGCTTCCCAGATTGTTCACAGAGGTAACAGCATTGGCCTCTTCAATTACCTCCTCAAGGTTGCTGCCAGGGTCATCAATCTGAAAGAAGAAGGCAATGCTGAGATGTGTCCTTGTTCACAGTACCTGAACCACTTGACAAAGCTCCAGGGAGACCCTACCCCTCTGCCATGTCTAATCCTTGAGTTCTCAAGACATGGTTCTTACACACACACACACTTCATTCTAGTACCCCTCAATGCTGGTGTCTCCTCAAATAGGATATGTCCTGCTTTGTGTTCTATTCTTGCCCCCACCGCACACGTCATGATGACTCTTCTCAATGTGTGGATGTATACGCATGCAGGTACACGTGGAGAGATGCACGAACATTCACATGTGTGTGACATCAGAGGACAATCTTGAGTGTTATTCCTCAAGAGCCACCCATCTTAAAACAAACAAACAAAAACAAAACCCCCAAACTATTAACTTACAAAGAGTTGGGTTTCATTATGGCATTTTCCCAACAAAATTTGCTTGTTTTGTTCCTCTTCCAGGCCTTGGTTTTGTTTGTTGGTTGGTTTGTTTTTTAAAAACTTTTTAAAAATGATTATATATCATGTGTTTTGTGAGGGGGCTTGTGCAGGCATGTGCAGATGTACACAAAGACCAAAAGAGGGCATCTGTTCTCCCATCAGAACTCCTAGAGCTGAATTTACAGGGAGCTATAGGCTGCCTGTTATGGGTGCTGGGAGCAGAACTTGGGTTCTCTGGAAGAGCTGCAAGTGCTCTAACCACTGAGCCACCCCTCCAGTCAACCTTTTTTTTTGAGACATCCCTTCTCATTAGCCTGAAGTCCACTGATCAATCTAGGTTGTCTGGCCATCAAGCTTTGGGAATTTGCCTGTCTCCATCTCCCTTGCTCTGGGACTATAAACCCATGCTGCCACACCAGACCTCTTTAATGTGGTTTCAGGGATCAAATTCAGGTCCTCACACTAATTCTGAGTGCACTGTCCTAGCTGAGCCATCTCCCCAGGCCTGACTTTCCTTTTCTTTTTTCAATTGCTGAGATTGAATCCAAAAGACCAAGCATGGGTCCTTCCAACTCCTATCCTGTAATACTCTGTTTTAACTCCTTCTACTGTTAGACGAACTGATCTTTGACTTAGTCTCTCCACAAAGCTTACTATGGTCAACAAGCCAATCGATATATGTGCTATATACCAATTATAATATATAGATGTATCTTTTCTTCAAAAGTTGTGTGCTTTTGAAGTTCAACACACATAGATGCACACATACACATATAAACAGATGATGATTATGATGATGATACATAGATAGACAGACAGACAGACAGACAGACAGACAGACAGATAATCACTTTGCTAATCCAAAGGACAAAAGAACACTGAGTTGAGGACTATGTTTCTTTCCCAAAGCATACTGTAAATTCCTCAAGGAATTTACTGTGGCTTTACTGGAGGACCCAGTCAAGGTCTTGTGGACTTTCTGCTAGCCTTTAGACCCAGAGAAGATCATAGTGACAGTGTTGATAACAACGGGGACTTGAACAAAAATTTAAAATGTGAAGTAAATGATAATATACTCCTTAAACACCTCAAAACCTTTAAAAAAGCACTTGCAGTTCTGAAGTGTTTGTGACATGGACGCATGTGTTGTAATAGTGAAAGCAAAAGGCAAGATATAGTGTTAAATGGTTGGGGCTAGAGAGATGGCTAAGTGCTTAGCACTGGCGGCTCTCGCAGACTTAGTTCCCAGCATCGACCTGTTGGCTCACATCCATCTGTAAGTCCATATCTGATGCCTTCTTCTGGACTCTGAGTGCACCAGGCATGAACATGGTGCACATAGATACATTCAGACAAAAAACTCATATACACAAAATAAAATAAATAAATCTAAAAAATCATAATTTTGCTTAAAAGCCCCAAACTACCCTCTCTAACAAACATTCAAGACACTTTAGAACAAAGCATGTATAATCAGCACTGGTTGCTGGATTCCTGGAGAGTTAAAAGGTCCTTCTATTTTTGGTTCCTGTATTTCCCCTACCCACAAACCAAAACACATCTCTCCTTGCTAACTGACACCCTAATATTGTAGCTAACTCCCTAAATCACCCTCAAACCTCTAGTACAGCCAAGGCCAGAGGGTTTTGTTGCCTTCCCAACTAGGTTAAGCTGACTGTGTTGGCCTGGCTCTGCTGTGGCCTTTCACAGTGTAGCCCTTCAGCCATGTATGCACAGGACAAGTGACAGCGAGGGTCAAGCAGTCTGGCATGAAGTAGGTACACCTGCTGGAGCCTCCTGGAGTTCTTTATAGGCAGCCACTCCATCCTCCCCTAGCCTAAGAAGCAATGCCTCTAGATGCTCGCCCCACCCATGCCATCCCTGGTAGGAGCAAGATGAGGAGCTCATTCATTTTGCAAGGCCTTTGTCTCCACTTTCTTACAGATGAAATATATACCCTAGGAAACAGTAGCTTCACTGCTGAATCAGGAGATCAAGACGCAGCAAAGCCAGGATCTGTGGGGCTGGGTGTAAGACCACATGCTTTAAGATGCCTTGCTTTACTCATTCACTAGGTGCTTTGTCTGCATTGAAGCTGGGCAGTGTCTTTAGCTCTAGGGGAAGTCTGGAGATGGCCTCTGGTAGCCCTGTTGACAGAGCACAGATGCTGAAGCATCTTCTATGCAAGGACCCGGGGATAGACTACAGGCCTAGGACATGGCCAAAGAAGCAGATTTCTCAGACAATGACAGAGAAAGAGGCTAAAGAGAGGGGAGAGGAGGATGAAGAAGAAAGAGAGGTAAAGGACATAAACATCCTGGTATTGGGAAGAAACCAGGACTGGACTGACTCACTTGCAAACTGTAAGCTGGCCTCCCAGCAGCCACAGTCACAGGGGCTCCACAGGGGACACTGTAAGCTGGCCTCCCAGAAGCCACAGTCACAGAGGCTCCACAGGGGACACTGAGGGGGGTGTCTCTGCTTCTGCTCTGACCACACAGGCCTCACTGCTCCCCACAATTCCAGGATCTTTGCATAACCCATTATTTTAACTTTTCTTGGGTTTCTATGTGCTTTATCTTTCCAATGAGCCCATCTTTTCAGAAGGAAACACGAGGCTTTATCTACGAAGGATGCAAGATCTTCAGAAGGGGATGCAGATCCCATAAATCTGCGCAGCTTATCTTGGGTGCCATGGTTCTATGGGGTCCCTTTCCTGTTTCATCCACTGAAACTGGTTCAGGACTGTCAGGGGACTGACTGGTTGTGATCAGAAAGTTTGATGTGTTTGTGTGTCCTTTCTGCCCATACTTGCCAGGTATGTGGAGAGCAGACTCTAATGGTGACGTTGAGGTAGCTGGGAAGGCCAGAGCCCAGTCCCACACTGAATCCAGGACTCTTCTGCCCTGGCCTTCCCTAGACAAAGTGTTAATTATATGTTCCTCAGACAGCAGACAACATCTCTCCATCCTCTGCTTTTGTCAGAGCCCTTATCCATCACCTCCGTACTCTTGTAGATTCCATATTTTGGTTTGTGGCTTGATGGCCAACTAGGATATAATGTTTTACCCAGAAGCAGAAAGCATGGCTACTCTGCCCAAATACTGACTGGAGAGTGCTGGGGAGAAGCATGTTTTGTACTACCAATTAAACATTTTAAATATAGTACTTTGTAAAGGATTGTGAATAGTTTTCAGATGGGAAACTAAAACACAGATAGATGAGGTAGGTTTTCCATCAGCTAATCGTCAGTGGCAAGACTAGGATATGAATTGAGATCCGCCCTCTCATTCATTAAAGCCTGTTCTCAACCAGTAAGCCACACAATCTCCTAGACTCTGTTCTTAGTAGACACAGCTGCCTCCATTTCTCCATCAGAGAGGAGGAGAAAAAGCCACACTATCCGTAGTCCCCCTTTCTGAGTGTCATGGAATATGTGAAGCACTTTCAGACTGCAAAGAGAGGCAAACACCTGAGCTTGAAGTGCTGTGTGTCCTGAATGATTAAACAAGACAAAGGATGCTCACACCAGAGGGTCTTCACACCTCTTCCTCTGTTTGTCCAGGCAAGGAAGTGCAAACATTTGTCAGCACAGGCAGGGAACAACAACTAGGGCAGCTTTCATCTTGTTGTTTCCTACAGAAACTGGCCAGGAGGTCTGGTCCACTGTGGTCTCTTGTGTCAGCACTTCATCCGGCTGTCCCTTTTGCTCTGTGCACCCATGGAGGTGACACAGAACATCAAGCATCCATGCAAAGCAAACTTTCTGAACTAAGGTTACAAAAATCACACCCAACAGCCTCCTCCACTCCTGCACCACAGTCATGTTAAACAATAAAGGATCCTGAGTTACCAAGATACTTGAGATAAACCTCACGGGATCTCACCTTCCTGAGAAACCTGTTTCCTTCCAGTGGACAGAGCCTCACATTTCCTGCAGCAATGCCGGATTCGGGGGAAGGGTAAAAGGATGAAAACACAAAAGCAGTTGGAACAACAGACTCCTCAAAGATCTAGGAACTGTCGTATACCTTGGCACTTCTGGGATGAGAAACAGTTCCAAGAAGACCTAGAATATGTTTGTAATGAGACACATTACACCCCAAGTGTATGGGACCCCAAAGGCTACACTTGACCTCTCCCTCTTCAAGTCATGGCTTCTTATGGCTCCTTCATGACCACATCTTACATACAGTCATACATGGCCTCCCTAGCCAACTGAGGCATCATTAACCTCTAACTGCAGCTCTGCCTATTATCTGATGTGGTCTGAATGTAAAGCGTCCCAGCTGGCACTGCTGTTTGGAGAAGTTATGGAACCTTGGGAGCCTCAGTGGAGGAAGTGGGGGCGTGCCATGGGATTTTATAGCCATCTCATTTCCTGTCCCATCTCTGCATTCTGACTGGCCCAGAGCAAATTCTCACACCACAGCTGAGACACTCCTGTGTCTCACTCCCCCCAACATCCCAAACTGTACCTTCAAACTAGAACTAAAATACATCTCAGTCTCAGCTGCCTCATCCTGTTGTTCATACACAGTGATGAGGAAATCCACTAAGTGC